TTTCTTTTTATCACTCTTAATCTTTAACCCACAAATTTGCATTTATCTATAAACAAGCTATCGACCGCGACTCCGTCCGCGCGATATTAAAAAATCTTAATTAGTAGCCTATGTGTTCTTCCAGTCTATGTTCTACAACTGTAGCAAATTTCATGTACACCCTTTCAGTCGTTCTAGAGAAATATCTATTCATCCAACCATCCATCTAAACATTCACATTGATAATTTTAGTAAGATATAATATATCGAGCTCAGTAATAGACGGTTACAATGAGCCTTAATATGAAAGCAATCATCTTTTATTGTCTTGGTCGGGGCTATCGTATTAGAGTAGTAAGCCTACTGTCTTTAGTACGTTTTATAGTTGGCACTATTATTTTAAATGTGTTAGTTCCGTACGTGAAATACCATGTAGAAACATTTACTATGAAAATGTTTTGAATTTTTACAAAATTTAGTCGTTTTCAAGTTTTCTCATAATCGACATTAATAATTGACATTCTTACAAAAACTTCTTCCTATGAAAAAAATTCGGTGTCATAAAAACTTTTAATGAGACTGGAAAATTAAGTAAAAATCTTATTTCGCTTAAAAAACTTAGTTTTTAACGACAACAATGATTATTTTTTAAATTATCTGTAGAACATAATGCCGTTTCATATTAAAAACTAGCTGTCGCACACGAAAACGTACGCGCGGAATTAAAAAAAAATATACGCTCTTCCAGACTATGTTTAACATCTACGCTAAATTTCAGTGAGATCTATGTAGACGTTCTAGAGATACCTTTATACAAACATACATCCATCCATCCATCAAAACATTCCTCAGAACAGTCAGAAGTAAAATTACTTGGACAAATTAATTTAAAATCCAGGAAGAGTTCTTTTGAGGTTAATTATTCGGTAAATTCAGCGTTATATGAGACTAGTATAGTGAAAGTCCGTTTGGAAGATAAGACTTTTAATTAATTGAATAATATTACAGTGTAGTACGTAATCAATACATCGTTGTTAGGACAGCGGCGGCGTCCCGGCAGTCGTGCGCGTACGCGT